CCGGAAGAGGTTACTTTAACGTCACATCAGTTCGCCTTCAATTTTTAGTGTAGGCAGCACAAGCTCCCACGTGGTCGAATAGTGGTATCGTTTTGAAATGACAAGCTCAATCGGGATACGCGCAGATGGACTACATTTTCCAACTTTGGAACTACGATTTCTGGTGAACTGTCAGTGCAGAAACAAATAAAGTGTGCACCGTTACAGTTTCCCCAGGCACATATCGACGGTGTAAGTCGACAATCACATAACTTGTTTGCAGTGTCTGAAAATCTCCGTCTCTATGTTATTTTTTAAAGGAGAACAAATTGACATCATTCCTTGTATTTAGTGCAGAATTTTCTTCGCTCAGAGAAGAAAAATCACGGCAGTTTTGAATAATTGCTGTTGAGTAGTTTTCCGTTTAAAAAATAAAGTATGACAGGAAGTCATGCGACGTCGCGAACCGAGTTGTGTGATTGCCGACTTACTCCGTCGATATGTAAATGTTTTTACGGGTGAGACGGAAATTGTTATTCCTAGTCGCAAAATGAATTGCAGATAGGAGGTTTTTTTTTTTTAACGAACCTGGAAGACGCTGCATTAGCGTCATGTCAGTTCGCCTTCAAATTTTAGTGTAAGCAACAAAAGCTCCTTCGTGGTCGAATAGTGCATGGTATTCGATAGTGGTAAACGATAGGCAAAAGTCTGAAACCGCCGTGATTTACTAAAGAAGTTCTATACAATAAAATATAGGTGGGAAAAAGTTTTATGCATGACGTACCGATGGCCAAAGTGCGATCCCACGTACCTCGCTAGCGATGTTTTAAAGTTTCTGCTCCCATTTTGTTTTTCGAAGCTAATATATGAGCCGACTTAATAACTTGAAAATGCAGAATGAATTCTGCTGATAGTGAAGTAAAATTGAGGAACTTTTCAAGAAATCACGTTGACTATTGTTTCCTTCCAAAATTATTAAATCTGAGAGAAAATATGCCACTTCGCAAGCGGAGATACGTAGTTGCGTACTTTGGCCATCGATAATGTCAAAAAAAAGAAGAAAAAAAAAATTTTCGTTGGAGACTTTGCATACAAATTTTTTATTGCTTCAACTGAAACAGCTTAAAGAGCTAATTTCACAGAATTTTTTAAAAAAATTTTCTGATATGAGAAATAGTATAAAAATAGATTTAAGAGTGAGAAAATGCATCGCCTAGTGACGTCATCTAGCGGCATTTCTCATTTAAACACACGTATTTCAGCACACTGGAAAAAAAACACTGGATCTAGAGTCCAGACTCTTGAAAACATTGACAAGAAAAAATACTCCTGACTCAATCAGATTTAAGCTTAAATCAAAAGGAAATCTGCTCAAATTAAGAGACTTGGTACTTGATTTAAGCAAAAATCCGATTGAATCAAGAATATTTTGTCTTGTCGATGTTTTTAATAGTCTGGATTTCTGGACTCTAGATCCAATGTGTTTTTTTTCCAGTGCAGATCAGATCATTTTGTCATATCTTCTCCAATAATTGTTCAATGCATGAACCAAGGGCATCCTCGTGTTCAGTTCACTCAGTATAGTTTCCACTTAAACTCGAAATTCATCAAATTTCAGACGCCTGCAAATTCTCCATCGAGCTATCGACTATATCAAATCGTTCTTCAAAAGGCTGAAGAGCTACCCTAAATTTGTTCGTCATTAGTAAACATATCTACAGATGATTTCCGCCTCGCGCTGGTATGATACAACCTTTTTCGGAGCGTACAGGCCCTCATCCTCTGACGTTCACCAGCTACTCTGCCGGGCTAAGGAAGAACGCCGTATGAACATTCGAAAGTTGCCAAATTTCCTTTGATAAAATGTTCATTTTGGAGGAAAATTATGAACAATTTTCCTTGACATTTTCAGGAACTTTAGTTCAAAATAGGAAAAAAAATGGACCAGTAGACAAGGCACGAATTTCAGCATTCTGATACACGTTTCCCAACCAAAATTTCACGTAGAACACGATGCGCACAACGAAAATTACCGAAATCAACTCCTTATGAAGATATTTAATGACTCTTGGTGCGTGAATTCAAACCACCCGCTCATGAAAACTCAGTGCTCTATGTGACTCACATCGCGCGCTAAACGTTATCATGACAGTCTCTGCGATATAAAAATCTGGCAACCTTAATCTTGACGCTTTAGCTCAGCTATAGCAAGTTGTTTAAGTTTGAATAGCGCATGGTGGGAAATGAACATCGCTTGATCGAGAAGCTTGCTGAAACCGTTGTAGTGCACGATTTGACTCACGTAGAGCTATGAGCTTCTTGTGAGCGGGCAGTTCAAATTCCTCGTAACCAATGTGAAATAAAAACGTTAATATCTTTGTTAGGAGTTGATTTCGGTAATTTTCGTTGCGCGAATCGTGTTCTACGTGAAATTCTGGTCAAGAAGCATGTATTAGAATGCTTAAATTCGTACCTTGTCTAGTGGTCCATTCTCTGAAAAATTGACAGTAAAATATTCATTATTTTGCATAGAAATTCGTGTTATTAAAAGAAATTTGGCAACGCCTGAAGGTTCATACGGCGTTTTTCCTTAGCACGGAAGTATTCTGCGGCCGGTGTGCGGTGGGCTGAAAGCATCCCTCTTCGATGGCTCCCTCCTTTATTTACTTAATGCATATCATACGCTACTCACGTTTACGTATTTATTTTTACCCATTTCAATATCTTGTCAGAGGAGTTGGATGTACAGGAAAAATTTGACACTTTTGATATTCATCTGTTCCCTCGGACAAGCGTGGTAAATTGAGAGTCAAAAGGGTGACGGATCATAGACTTCTTTCCTCTCTATCTTTTCATTCGATCAAATGATTGAGTAATTACCGTTTTATTTAGACTACACCACCGTTCAAAAAAATGAAATCATGGTCAGAGCCTGTGTCTTTCTTTCACTTGCCGCATGTTCAAATCCGCTCTTATCGGGCTCTTCTTATTTTTCTTATACCAATCCTGCATTCCGGAGTTTATTTCTTTTTCTGAGGAGGATACAGGAGGTGAAAATATAGAATATTTAGTCGTTAATTTCCCGGACCGACTCAAATTCAACATATTATCATTTCTCATTTCCCGCAACTCAATTTCAAGTTTGCAAAACTGACTCTAACAATTCAATTATTCTCCAAGTTTATATACCTGTACGATTTTTGTGCGGAATTAGTCTGATTTTTGCATGAGATCAGAAGAAAAATCGGTGGAAATTTAGTTAGAAATTCTCAAAATTCTCCTGGTAAAAATTCAATTTGCGAAAGGGGAATTTGGCAACATTGGAATTTAGTTACGTTTTTTCGGGAGTGGAACGACGATTTATGGTCTTGTGTCTGCGAAATCAAATTTTTGGAGAGTCTGAGGCTAGAGATGTGATGAACCTCAGGAATTGTGATTGGTGCGGCCCCTCAAAAACTGCAACTCTTTTCGCTGGGGTCCAAAGGCTCCTATAAATCAGTATTTTTTATCTCCTTTGACCAAGTGACTGCATGTTGGATCAATAATTTTCATGGGAAGGTCTCCCTCCTACAATTTACAAAGTATGCTGTTCCAACCTAGTGGTGACTTAATTAATCCACTCACTATGAATGTTCCACGCTCATTTTCGCCAGTTCGCCTTCGATAAGTGGGTAGGCAATTTGAGCGGCTCAGGAGCGGTAATAGTTGCTGCAGTAGTTTGAGCAATGCTATCATCAGTTTTAGTTTTTTAGTTCCTTAGTCTAGTGCGAGAGTGCTTCGCGAACATTTTGGAAATAAAACGCCCATTAATTTCAAAACTAACCGGATTTGGGGCAATTTAAAACAAGACATTACCGTAGTAAAATCCAACTTCCAACGTTACACCTTCTTTTTCTTTTCTTTTCTTTTCTTTTCTTTTCTTTTCTTTTCTTTCTTTAAAAAAAGGCTTTTACATCTCTCTGGACACCACCGTGTCTTACTCAAAATCTCAATATCCGATTTTTCAGCCAAACCTGAAAAGTCTCTTTTCTCGTGGACACTCCCATGTATACTCATCCTGTATGTGCAAAAGTTTCCGTCGGAATTCTTACACAATTTTTCTGGTTAAAAAAGAAAGAATGAATATTCTTGAGAAATGAAATGAAAAATTTCTGATGAAAGCTGGGAAAAAATCACTGCATGTCAGACAAATTTTGTCAATTTAACTACGCATTTTGGAAAGGAAGGAAATACTATTTATGGCAATATTAGAAAAATTATATGCGCAGTTAGGTTCCATAAACAGGTACGTGTTTTTATGGATGAGCCTAAAATGGTAGTTTCGTATTGCAAAATACAGTCCAATTTGCGTTCCAGGCAAATCAACTGAAAATATTGTTGAAAATGTTGTAAATACCTTTGTTCCAAAATCAAACTAACCTGCTTCATTTTATCCGTATTTTATTCTCTTTTTCCCCTCTTACGAGGTACGAGTAAATTGTAAATTAATTTTAGAAAGTCTACAGGTATTGTATTAATATGTTAAAGGGCCCTTCATCCCTCCCAGAGGACCATGTAATCCATAAATGGTCGCTAAATTGTATGACGCGCACCGCCGTCTGAACCGCGAATATCAATAAATTAAACGGAAGAAAGTCAATTAACCGTCGGGGGCGAAATATTAAAACACCACCCCGCGCCGAAAATTAAAGAAAAAAAATAATAGAATCAAGCTGCAGCATAATCGCTGCAGGACGGAATTCCTCGAGCTTTCAAATTAGTCGCGAGCGGCTGCAGCTCGCGGCGAGGGGTGTCGCGCCGGGGGGCGTGGCCCGCGAATCCCGGATGGCGGGTCGCGGGCGAGGCGGGCCCTCGGCGACCAATCAGCGCCCTCCGGTACCCCACCCCGACGCCCGGCTCGCCGAATCCCGGTCGCGGAGCCCGTGTTATTCCTGCCCGGTCGAAAGGAGCCCGAATCAACCCAGTTTGTTTTTACTTCGCTCTGTGTAAACGCGCCCGTGTTGTGTCTGATAATAAGACGCTCCGTCCACCTTCGCGGCGACCCCGGCCAACCCCTGCCTTTTTTAAGCCCTGTTTACAACAACAACCGCCGAGCCGGAAAAACAATCGGGGCACCTGTGATTCTGTTGACACTTAAAACAACGGGCAGTGCTACTCCCTCGATACCTGGACAATTACGCGGATTCTCACCTGGGTGTGGGCCCAGCGAGTGATGCGATATGCATACCCTGTTCGGCGAGCAGAACGCGTGCTACCGGATGCCCTCCGGCGGGTACCCCAGCTCCAGCCACCTCGGCGGGTACCCGGGGGGCTACGAGCAGTACCCGCGGTACGGCTACGCGGCCTACCCGCAGCAAGGCCCGACCAAGGACATGGTCAAGCCGCCGTACTCCTACATAGCCCTCATCGCCATGGCCATACAGCACGACCCCAACAAGCGCTGCACCCTCAACGGCATCTACCAGTTCATCATGGACAAGTTCCCCTACTACCGTGAGAACAAGCAGGGCTGGCAGAACTCCATCAGGCACAACCTTAGTCTAAACGAGTGCTTCGTCAAGGTCCCCAGGGACGACAAGAAGCCCGGCAAAGGGAGCTACTGGACGCTCGATCCTGACTCGTACAACATGTTCGACAACGGGTCCTATCTCCGGCGGCGGCGGCGATTCAAGAAGAAAGACGCGCTGAAGGAGAAGGAGGAAGCGCTCAAGAGGCAACAAGCCCAGGAGGCGCAGATGAAGAAGGCTGAAGACAAGATCCCCGTCCAACCTGTGAAACCCAAGCGGGAACCGATGGGAACCCTCAGTGCGTGCATGAACTCCAAGTACCAGATGGACCGGATGGACGTCAAACCGGAACACTGCGAGCTCGGTTTCGCGATGGACAACCTGGTCATCGCCGGCGGTCGCGATTGTACGACAGCCGGTCCGGCGGCTCTGCAGGGCTACCGGGCGCAACCGGTTTACTACCATTGCTCGCAGTACGAGGAGCAGGCGCCGGCGCCGGCTGTTGGCGCCACCGCGACCGGAACTGCGAACCCGGCGCACCCCGCGCACCAGTACCGGCACACCTCGTGGTACGGCAACGAACCGGACCTCTTCGAGAACCCGAGCTGTCAGCTGGGATTCCGGACCTCACACTCGTATTACCAGCAGGACGGGCAAAAGTACTGACCCGGCCCGGTGACGTGCAAGTGTAGATAGTGTAACGACCGGTCCGGTTGAACCGGTTCCCAGTGTGTAGATAGTGTACATAGAGCTGTTTCCGGTTTCGGTATCCTTGTGTCTATCCTGTCCCGGTTCTAGGTTAAGTGTGTCCGGTTTTTGACGGCGAACCGTCTGTCTCAGTTCGAAAATCTGATTGTGATATTCTGGGAGGGAGTCATTAGATCAAATGCCGATTTTTTAATCTTACTTCCGGTCTTGAAGTTACTTTCGTGTTATTAACACTCGGAAAAATCGATTTCTAACAAAGATCCGAGTGATTTTAGTTACTTACTCCCTAAGTGACTGTTCGTGGGATTCGAGTGCCTCACATACTCAAAATCGGAATCATTGAATGCATTTTTTTTTTTTGCAAATATTTTTCTTTAATTCACAAGTTGCATGCGCTATAATGTTCACATCACTATACCTACCGAACTCAATTGCTCAACAGAATGGACTTTGGCGCCCTTTTTTCTGTCTATGAGAGGTCCCGATTACTAATAAATGTCATCTTTAATTAACCTAAATTAGGTTTCCTCAAAAATTCGATGCAATTGAACGTGAATGCGCTCTTTTATTTGAGTGCTATCCTTTTGATCTCTAACGGATTTATTGCAATATTTATCGACAAAGCCCTATAATCAAACGCATTGATTTATCTTTGCAAGAAGAAATTAACCGAACGGGGTGATTCTTTTCTATTATGGCGGGTTGAATTTGGACTGATTCCGGATAAAAATCCACCTAAATTTTTTCGCTTTTTCGAAGTTAAAACTCTGTTGAAGATCGAATTGTTCGGCGGCGATGTTTGACGGTGTTTAACATTTACGCGAGTGCAACAAAAAATGGATTCCGATTCAACGACGCTGAAATTTTGTGCCATAAAGCAGATTTGGAGGGATTTTCACTTCAAACTCAAGATCTTTGCGACTTTGGATGCCTTGCTGGACCGGAAATCAACGAGAAAACAACTTGATTATCTTCCTTGGCGGCGTCTAAACAGCAATCCATCCAGTCTTGGACACGGGAGGATACAACTTGGTGTAAAGTATTTTGTTCACTATTCCTCTATAATTTTAAACTTTAATTCACCCACCCTCACTCATTTATCAAATCAAAAGAGAAGAGACTACTAGACGCGATTAAAAATAAATAAAATATTGGATGAAGTTTCATTACCGTGGCACTTGCAAAAATTAATTCAACGCGCAAAATCTGGCACATGTGGACCTAGTTTTTTATGTTTAATTGACGGAAAGTGTAGAAAATGATGATTCGTTCCATGAGCTCTGCAGAACTTTTAAATGTGCCCGCCGTATTCCATTTTTGCGATAAATTTTTCGCCCTCACGCGTTGAAAACTTTTAATTCGTCATTACAGTAGCCCATTTAAAAGTGCAGTTATTCCTTATTATGAAAGCAAATAATGACTCACACACACGCAGATTCTATCAAATCATAATAGAGGCAGTCGTAACTAAGTTCATATTAGCATGTTAGTTACATAAATTTTGAAATCTATTAACAACTGTGTCGTGACTGACTCGTGAGATTTTCAGTTATTCCAACATTACGACTTTTAAACTGCCAATTAGTCAAACATTTAAATTCGTGATGATTCATTTGATTCAGAAATAATTTGATTTTGAAGCTTAAAATACATGGTAAAGGGAGGTAATACTTCTTTTCTTAAGAAAAAAAAACTATTTGGTGCAATATTAAATCAAGCACATCCCAAAGTAAAAGTTCAATTAAAAAAAAAAATAAATAAATAAAAAAAAACTCAACGTAAAAAATTTAAACCTTAAAAAATTAAATATCAGTATTACTATGTTGAAATTTAGTATTGCATTCGACTCAACTCACTTTCTAAACTTTATTTTTTTCTTAAATGCATAAAAATATCACCCACCTTTTTTCATCTGTTGGAAGCCTCGCCTATTTGTTAATTCTGCGGAATTTTTTTTTTTTATTGATTTACCCCCCATTGATTCTACTTTCCAATGTGTCAAACGCGAATCCTCCGCCATCGTTGCTCTAGTAAAAAAGTTGAATTGTAACTGAGACAGTTTGCGTCCAAAAGTTTACCTATAAGGGTACGAATATAATACATCATATCAATATCGATTACTATTTTTAATCGCATTTTCAGCCAATTTTTGTCGTGGAATATATATCTCAATATTTTTCAATTTTCAGAAAAAAATTCTAAAGAAAAGATCTCTCCAGAATGTTGAAAGAACTGCTAAAAAACCCCTTCCTTTTTTTTCTTCTTTTTTTCCTTTTTTTAAACGCACCTGTGGGGTACCTGCGAGTGAAAATTAGGAACATGCAGACAGAAGGAAAATTCATAAACGGTTATCAAATGCTGATCGTCAAATAAGTTTTTCATATGTTTTCTTGAAATATATTTTTAAGTCTACTCCCGTAATTCTCGTTTCGGTCCTTTGTTCAGCACGATGGGATATTCTTACCGCGCTTCGGTCAGAGATCTGAAATTAATAGAAGCATCCTTAAACATCCGGCTGTAGGTAGTCATATTATGGAACAAAATATGCGTTCAATAAGCAATGATTGCATTTTTAGTTAATTTTTTCTACTATGACCATAGGTTTGGTCTAGTAAAATGAAAACCGTAAAATTAATTTCAAGAATTATGAATGAGTCAAAAATCAAAATCCTGCACTTCACTTTTCTGCGCGTAAATCATATTTATACAGGATCAATATATTTTTCAAATTTTTGATTCACGTACTATTTTCATGCAGGGCAAAAACTGTCCAATCATTCAGAAGAATAGGTACGCGTGTCATCAGTCATCACGCACAGCGATGCATCTTAATCCATCGGATTAGAAATCAATCACAGCTTGAACACTGCCGTCATAAGGAAAAATGACGTAAGAGCTTTCCCCTTTAACAGTTGTCGAATTGCTCTTTATAAAACACTAATTTTTTAGGAAAGATGTGAATATTTATCCTTGAAATTTTTACATCAGATCAAATTGCGAATGAAATACCCTGAAATAATTGAAGCAATATATTCAAAAGTATTTTAAATATTTCATTTTATTGCTGGAAGTCTTTCAACGCCTGAATGCTCATTTATGACGCACTTCATACACATCAGAGCATGCGTAATACGTATAGGTAAGCAAATTTGTGTGTATGTCAAATGCAATTAGTGAAATCAGGTATTTTATCAAATGCTTAGGCAGTTAACTTTTGACAGTTCACGGAATTCTGTAAATTTTTGGCGAGAAGTTCGCGGATTTTCAATATTTTGGGAAGAATAACTCTTGAATTCCGCAAACTCTCATCGATCCTTCCTTTTCAAATGCCTCTCGTGCATTTAAATGCTAAAATTGTAAAAGTTCTATGTTTTATGATGAGTTGAAAATTTCATGATAAATGTGATTTTAGGATCTTAAAATTGTTTAAAATACTATTGTATGCTGCGTATTTTTACAGAGAATCCTTTCTTACAGAAGCAACGAATTATTTTGTCTAAAATGAGGGTAAAAAATCAAAATTTCAATCTAAAGTAAGAATATTTGACTATTTGCCTAGGCATTTAACAAAACGTCTGATTTGACTATTTGCCTTCGACATGTATACACATAAGAGGCCTAAGCTCAAAAACTCGGGATTGAAATAGATGCATTGACTCATAAAGAATCCCTTACAGGGTTTCCCGTGCTGCCCTGCTGAGAAAATTATAATGCCAATGAAGAATTGAGTATCACTTTCGTGATAAGGAAGAGCACCGTATCAGCCTCCAGGCGTTGCCTTTCCCTCGATGAAATACAAATTTGTAGATAAATTTATAATTATTTTTCCCCAAAATTTTCAGAGGATTTTATTCGCAGTTTAATTAAAAGTATTTAGAACTCTCAAGAAAAAATATTCATACTTTTCTTCCACAATAAAGATTTGATCACGAGAAATCCGGCAACCTCTAAATGCCCATACGGCGTTTTTCCTTAGCAAGGCAGCAAAGAGACAATTAATTCTTAATCATCATGGTTTTATATGATTCGGCTCATTTTATCCTCGTTTGTAATTAATTTTTCGTTGTCATTTTTGCATCATTTTGTTCCTGGTAGGTAACAAGTTTCGTTCTCCTTTAAAATTATTCGACTTAGGCTCTCGTAGATATTTTTCCTGATGTACGAAGCTCTTTTTAAGCAGGACAATGTCGGTCTATTACACTTCTTTTGAATGCTAATGCGTATCTTTGAAATCGGCTTGGCTGCATTATATTTGCTGACTTTTAGTACTTAGGGCCAAATTTTTTAAACATCTTCAAAATTGCACAAACTTGACCAGAATTTTCGCGAAATCGGCCTCTTTTCACCTTTCTACGTTCGACGAAGTTTATTTTATTTCTATTTCAAGATAACTGATCAACTGTTTCCATTTAAATTTTGAAGAATTCGTCGTTTCCTTGCGAAAGAACGTAACTTCATCTCAATGATGCCAAATTTCCCCCCACGATTTTCATGTTTACCAGAAAAATCTTAGGCATTTCTAACTGAAAATTTGACTGATTTTTCCTCTGAAAAATTGAATTGTTAGGGCTAGTTTTGAAGCCCTGGAATTGAGTTATGTTCCTTCGTCGGGAAAACAAATAATTATTCACATAATACTGAAGGTAACTTATTACAAAATGCTTCAATACTGAAGAAAACTATTTTTCTTTTTCTTCTTCTTCTTCTCTTTATTAATACCTACTGTAGGTAGACATTATGAAAAACTCAATCCTAACGTATGATCTTGACCAACTCTCGGTATATTTTTCAGATTTAAATGAAAGAAAAAGTCTATCCGGAGATGGCATATAGGTATACTTTAGATGCTCCAAGTTGCAAATTGATGGATATTCTTAAGAGTCATCAGTTGTTGAATAATTGCCCTCCGCGACTATGAAAATAGTCATCACGCGGTTTTGTTTGTCAGCAAGAAGTGGAGCACAGACACAAACAACCAATAAATCTGTTATCATTTAGGCCCACTTAATCACCGTCTAGTCTTGCTATTTACTGAAATACATCGGTCTTCAGTCATAACTC